GTTCTTGAAAAAGAGTGGTCTCTGTCAGAGCTCTCTCAGCCCCACCTCCCTCACAGGGAGTCTGCTTTGGGCAAGCCATCATTCTGGCACAGCTGTCCTTGAAAAAGAGCCGTTTCTGTCAGAGCTGTCTCAGCCCCACCTCCCTCACAGGGTGTCTGTTGTGGGGAGGGGAAGGGAAAGGAGTTTGGAAGCCGCTCTGAGACACCTTTGGGTAGTGAAGGGTCATGGGGTATAAATCCAATCTCTTCTTCTTCTTCTTCTTCTTCAAGAGCAGTTTCTGTCAGAGCTCTCTCAGCCCCGCCTACCTCACAGGGTGTCTGTTGTGGGGAGGGGAAGGGAAAGGACTCTGTAAGCCGCTCTGAGACTCCTTTGGGTAGTGAAGAGCGGGGTATAAATCCAATCTCCTCCTCCTCCTCCTCCTTTGTCCTTTCTTAAAGCCGAAGCTGTGCAAAGACATCCCAAAAGAGAATCCCCAAATCGCTTAACACATACAAGATGAAGTGTATCGGTGTCCAAAAATAACCCTCACCAGATAAAATCCAGCTAGATAACTAAAACCCGAATATTGTACATCCAGAAGAAAATACACTAAGAGGGCGGAAACTGATCTTAAGACAGAGTGAGGTTCAGGAAAGGATACCACCAAGTTTATCTTATCACTTAATAAATGGAGGGGAGTTTTTAATGGAATTGTCACAGCAGAGATTCTCTCTGAAATTGGTAACAGTAATTTGGGCTCTGGCCTTTGAGCGGAAGGGGAAAATATCTGATAGCGCAGCGGATGGTTTTTCCCAAATCACAAATGCACCTAGATCACTATCACAGTCTCTCTGAGTTTTGCCTTGCCGTAGTAAAAGGGCAGCCACGTTAGTCTCTGTTGCAGCAAAACAGAACTCAAATCCAGTGGCACCTTCAAGACTAACAGCATTTCTTTCAGGTGGGCAGCCGTGTTGCTCTGAAATAGTGGAACAAAGTCTGAGTCCAGAGTGGCACCTGTGAGACCAACAAAGTTTTATTCTGGGTAGAAGCTTTTGTGTGCAAGCAAACGTCTTGAGATATCTGTATCTGAAGAAGTGCGCTTGCACACAAAATCTTATAGCTTGAATAAAACTTTGTTGGTCTTAACGGTGCCACTCTGGACTCCGACTTTGTTCTGCTAACATTTCTTTCAGTATGAGCTTCCATGAGTGACCGTTCACTTCCACAGCTAGGGTGGTGTGGTGGTTAGGACTCTAATCTGGGAGAACCAGGTTTGATTCCCCACTCTTCCGCATGCAGCTGCTGGTGTGACCTTGGGTCAGTTACAAGTTCTCTCAGAGCTGTTCTCTCAGGAGCAGTCCTCGAAAGAGCTCCCTCAGCCCCACCTGCCTCACAGGGTGTCTGTTGTGGGGAGAGGAAGGAGACTGTAAACCATTCTGAGACCCCTCGGGTAGAGCAGTTCTCGAGAGAGCTCTCTCAGCGTGAAGGGTGGGGTATAAATCCAATCTCTTCTTCTTCTTCTTTTACCTCACAGGGTGTCTGTTGTGGGGAGGGGAAGGGAAAGGAGTTTGTGAGCCGCTCTGAGACTCCTTTGGGTAGTGAAGGGCGGGGTATAAATCCAATCTCTTCTTCTTCTTCTTTTCCCTCACAGGGTGTGGCCCAGTGGAAGAGGGTCAGCTTTGCATGCAGAAGGTCCCAGGTTTAGTCCCCAGCATCTCCAGTTAAAAGGACCAGGCAGGAGGTGATATGAAAGACCTTAGACCCTGGAGAGCCATGGAGAGAGGCTGTGGCCCAGTGGAAGAGGGTCAGCTTTGCATGCAGAAGGTCCCAGGTTTAGTCCCCAGCATCTCCAGTTAAAAGGACCAGGCAGGAGGTGATATGAAAGACCTTAGACCCTGGAGAGCCATGGAGAGAGGCTGTGGCCCAGTGGAAGAGGGTCAGCTTTGCATGCAGAAGGTCCCAGGTTTAGTCCCCAGCATCTCCAGTTAAAAGGACCAGGCAGGAGGTGATATGAAAGACCTTAGACCCTGGAGAGCCATGGAGAGAGGCTGTGGCCCAGTGGAAGAGGGTCAGCTTTGCATGCAGAAGGTCCCAGGTTTAGTCCCCAGCATCTCCAGTTAAAAGGACCAGGCAGGAGGTGATATGAAAGACCTTAGACCCTGGAGAGCCATGGAGAGAGGCTGTGGCCCAGTGGAAGAGGGTCAGCTTTGCATGCAGAAGGTCCCAGGTTTAGTCCCCAGCATCTCCAGTTAAAAGGACCAGGCAGGAGGTGATATGAAAGACCTTAGACCCTGGAGAGCCATGGAGAGAGGCTGTGGCCCAGTGGAAGAGGGTCAGCTTTGCATGCAGAAGGTCCCAGGTTTAGTCCCCAGCATCTCCAGTTAAAAGGACCAGGCAGGAGGTGATATGAAAGACCTTAGACCCTGGAGAGCCATGGAGAGAGGCTGTGGCCCAGTGGAAGAGGGTCAGCTTTGCATGCAGAAGGTCCCAGGTTTAGTCCCCAGCATCTCCAGTTAAAAGGACCAGGCAGGAGGTGATATGAAAGACCTTAGACCCTGGAGAGCCATGGAGAGAGGCTGTGGCCCAGTGGAAGAGGGTCAGCTTTGCATGCAGAAGGTCCCAGGTTTAGTCCCCAGCATCTCCAGTTAAAAGGACCAGGCAGGAGGTGATATGAAAGACCTTAGACCCTGGAGAGCCATGGAGAGAGGCTGTGGCCCAGTGGAAGAGGGTCAGCTTTGCATGCAGAAGGTCCCAGGTTTAGTCCCCAGCATCTCCAGTTAAAAGGACCAGGCAGGAGGTGATATGAAAGACCTTAGACCCTGGAGAGCCATGGAGAGAGGCTGTGGCCCAGTGGAAGAGGGTCAGCTTTGCATGCAGAAGGTCCCAGGTTTAGTCCCCAGCATCTCCAGTTAAAAGGACCAGGCAGGAGGTGATATGAAAGACCTTAGACCCTGGAGAGCCATGGAGAGAGGCTGTGGCCCAGTGGAAGAGGGTCAGCTTTGCATGCAGAAGGTCCCAGGTTTAGTCCCCAGCATCTCCAGTTAAAAGGACCAGGCAGGAGGTGATATGAAAGACCTTAGACCCTGGAGAGCCATGGAGAGAGGCTGTGGCCCAGTGGAAGAGGGTCAGCTTTGCATGCAGAAGGTCCCAGGTTTAGTCCCCAGCATCTCCAGTTAAAAGGACCAGGCAGGAGGTGATATGAAAGACCTTAGACCCTGGAGAGCCATGGAGAGAGGCTGTGGCCCAGTGGAAGAGGGTCAGCTTTGCATGCAGAAGGTCCCAGGTTTAGTCCCCAGCATCTCCAGTTAAAAGGACCAGGCAGGAGGTGATATGAAAGACCTTAGACCCTGGAGAGCCATGGAGAGAGGCTGTGGCCCAGTGGAAGAGGGTCAGCTTTGCATGCAGAAGGTCCCAGGTTTAGTCCCCAGCATCTCCAGTTAAAAGGACCAGGCAGGAGGTGATATGAAAGACCTTAGACCCTGGAGAGCCATGGAGAGAGGCTGTGGCCCAGTGGAAGAGGGTCAGCTTTGCATGCAGAAGGTCCCAGGTTTAGTCCCCAGCATCTCCAGTTAAAAGGACCAGGCAGGAGGTGATATGAAAGACCTTAGACCCTGGAGAGCCATGGAGAGAGGCTGTGGCCCAGTGGAAGAGGGTCAGCTTTGCATGCAGAAGGTCCCAGGTTTAGTCCCCAGCATCTCCAGTTAAAAGGACCAGGCAGGAGGTGATATGAAAGACCTTAGACCCTGGAGAGCCATGGAGAGAGGCTGTGGCCCAGTGGAAGAGGGTCAGCTTTGCATGCAGAAGGTCCCAGGTTTAGTCCCCAGCATCTCCAGTTAAAAGGACCAGGCAGGAGGTGATATGAAAGACCTTAGACCCTGGAGAGCCATGGAGAGAGGCTGTGGCCCAGTGGAAGAGGGTCAGCTTTGCATGCAGAAGGTCCCAGGTTTAGTCCCCAGCATCTCCAGTTAAAAGGACCAGGCAGGAGGTGATATGAAAGACCTTAGACCCTGGAGAGCCATGGAGAGAGGCTGTGGCCCAGTGGAAGAGGGTCAGCTTTGCATGCAGAAGGTCCCAGGTTTAGTCCCCAGCATCTCCAGTTAAAAGGACCAGGCAGGAGGTGATATGAAAGACCTTAGACCCTGGAGAGCCATGGAGAGAGGCTGTGGCCCAGTGGAAGAGGGTCAGCTTTGCATGCAGAAGGTCCCAGGTTTAGTCCCCAGCATCTCCAGTTAAAAGGACCAGGCAGGAGGTGATATGAAAGACCTTAGACCCTGGAGAGCCATGGAGAGAGGCTGTGGCCCAGTGGAAGAGGGTCAGCTTTGCATGCAGAAGGTCCCAGGTTTAGTCCCCAGCATCTCCAGTTAAAAGGACCAGGCAGTAGGGGATGTCAAAGACCTCAGCCTGAGACCCCGGAGAGCCGCTGCCAGTCTGAGTGGACAAGACTGACCCTGATGGACCGGTGGTCTGATTCTGTACGAGGCAGCTTCATGTGCATGTTGAGGCTCATTGGTAGAGGGTCTGCTGGGCATGCAGAAGGTCCCAGGTCCGGTTCCTGGCATCTCCAGTTAAAAGACCTAGGCATCAGGTGATGTGAAAGACCTCAGCCTGGGACCCTGGAGAGTCATGATGTGGGGCCGTGGCTCAGCAGTAGAGCCTCTGCTTGGCATGCAGAAGGCCCCAGGTTCAATCCTCGCAACACTAGTTAAAAGGATCAAGCAGGAGGGGATGGGAAAGACCTCCGCCTGAGACCCTGGAGAGCAGCTGCCAGTCTGAGTAGGCAATACTGGCCTTGACAGACCCATGATTCAGTGAAAGACAGCTTCGTGTGCGTTCAGTATAAAGAAGCTTTCTGCGTGCCCTTTAAGTTCATGGGTCACATTCTGGTATCCTGGGCACCTCCCCTTTCACACTGTTTCGTTGTGCGGTAGCCCGGGGAAGGGAGGAGCTTAACGGCCTCTACAAATGTCCGATCCTTCGGGTACCATTTCACTCAACTGCTCTTGCAATGCTTTTGTTCACAGAGCTTGGAAGATGGCGATGCTGGAAGCCAAGGCAACCCAGGTGAGCTTCCTTCCTTCCTTCCTTCCTTCCTTCCTTCCTTCCTTCCTTCCTTCCTCCCTCCCTCCCTTTTCCTTCCTTCCTTTTCCTTCCTTCCTTCCTTCTCCTTCCTTTCTTTTCCTTCCTTCCTTCCTTCTCCTTCCTTTCTTTTCCTTCCTTCCTTCCTTCCTTCCTTCCTTCCTTGCCCTTCATTACGTGAAGGAATCTCAGAGTGGCTTACAATCTCCTTTCCCTTCCCCTCCCCACAACAGACACCCTGTGAGGTAGGCGGGGCTGAGAGAGCTCTTGACAGAAGGTGCTCTTCTTCAAGGACAGCTCTAATCAGGACTATGGCTTGCCCAAGGTCATCCAGCAGGTACAAGTGGAGGAGTGGGGAATCAAATCTAGTTCTCCCAGATTAGAGTCCGCCATTTAACCACTACACCGAAGAAGAAGATATTAGACTTATACCCTGCCCTTCATTACGTGAAGGAATCTCAGAGTGGCTTACAATCTCCTTTCCCTTCCCCTCCCCACAACAGGCACCCTGTGAGGTAGGTGGGGCTGAGAGAGCTCTGACAGAAACGGCTCTTTTTCAAGGACAGCTCTGACAGAGCTATGGCTTGCCCAAGGTCACCCAGCAGCTGCATGTGCTGCATGTGGAGGGGTGGGGGAATCAAACCCGGTTCTCCCAGATTAGAGTCCGCGCACTTAACTACTACACCAAACTGGTAAGGTTTTACAGGGCATAAGCTTCTGAGCGTCAGAGCTCCCTTCGTCAGGTACAAGTAGGAACTAGAGATTCCTGAGCCAAGGTACATCTGAGGAAGGAAGCCTTGACTCTTGAAAACTTATACCCTGGAAATCTGGTCAGTTCTTAAGGGGCCACTGGACTCAAATCTTGTTCTTCCCGAATTCTTTTGCGTTCGTTCTCATCAGTGGCGTACCCGTCTCTCTTCTCCTGAAGCTCTTTCTCGATCTCCCTCTCTTCCGCCTCCTCTGACTGTCCTCCCAAGGTATGAGGTTTCCCAAAGGGATGTTCCTCCTTGCTTTGCTGCAGACGCAACTGACTGTAGACATTCTGTGACTGAAACATCCCTCCCCCTCAGCAGTTGAAGTGTTTGTGAACTTCCGTTCCTGCTTGTATCCGACGAAGGGAGCTGGGACTCTTGGAAGCTCAGACTCCAAAAATCTTGCTGGTCTCTAAGGTGCAGCTGGACTCGGATGTAGAGGTTAAGTGCGCAGACTCTTATCTGGGAGATCCCGGTTTGATTCCCCACTTCTCCTCCACACGCAGCCGCTGGTGTGACCTTGGGTCAGTCACAAATTCTCTCAGAGCTGTTCTCTCCAGGGCAGTTCTCTCAGAGCTCTAGCCATAGTCCTGATTAGAGCTGTCCTTGAAGAAGAGCACCTTCTGTCAAGAGCTCTCTCAGCCCCGCCTACCTCACAGGGTGTCTGTTGTGGGGAGGGGAAGGGAAAGGAGATTGTAAGCCACTCTGAGATTCCTTCACGTAATGAAGGGCAGGGTATAAGTCTAATATCTTCTTCTTCGGTGTAGTGGTTAAATGGCGGACTCTAATCTGGGAGAACTAGATTTGATTCCCCACTCCTCCACTTGTACCTGCTGGATGACCTTGGGCAAGCCATAGTCCTGATTAGAGCTGTCCTTGAAGAAGAGCACCTTCTGTCAAGAGCTCTCTCAGCCCCGCCTACCTCACAGGGTGTCTGTTGTGGGGAGGGGAAGGGAAAGGAGATTGTAAGCCACTCTGAGATTCCTTCACGTAATGAAGGGCAGGGTATAAGTCTAATATCTTCTTCTTCGGTGTAGTGGTTAAATGGCGGACTCTAATCTGGGAGAACTAGATTTGATTCCCCACTCCTCCACTTGTACCTGCTGGATGACCTTGGGCAAGCCATAGTCCTGATTAGAGCTGTCCTTGAAGAAGAGCACCTTCTGTCAAGAGCTCTCTCAGCCCCGCCTACCTCACAGGGTGTCTGTTGTGGGGAGGGGAAGGGAAAGGAGATTGTAAGCCACTCTGAGATTCCTTCACGTAATGAAGGGCAGGGTATAAGTCTAATATCTTCTTCTTCGGTGTAGTGGTTAAATGGCGGACTCTAATCTGGGAGAACTAGATTTGATTCCCCACTCCTCCACTTGTACCTGCTGGATGACCTTGGGCAAGCCATAGTCCTGATTAGAGCTGTCCTTGAAGAAGAGCACCTTCTGTCAAGAGCTCTCTCAGCCCCGCCTACCTCACAGGGTGTCTGTTGTGGGGAGGGGAAGGGAAAGGAGATTGTAAGCCACTCTGAGATTCCTTCACGTAATGAAGGGCAGGGTATAAGTCTAATATCTTCTTCTTCGGTGTAGTGGTTAAATGGCGGACTCTAATCTGGGAGAACTAGATTTGATTCCCCACTCCTCCACTTGTATCTGCTGGATGACCTTGGGCAAGCCATAGTCCTGATTAGAGCTGTCCTTGAAGAAGAGCACCTTCTGTCAAGAGCTCTCTCAGCCCCGCCTACCTCACAGGGTGTCTGTTGTGGGGAGGGGAAGGGAAAGGAGTCTGTAAGCCGCTCTGAGACTCCAGAGTGAAGAGCGGGGTATAAATCCAATCTCTTCTTCCTCCTCCTCCTTCTCCTCTCTTTCTTCAGTCCCCTTCCGCTCAACATGGTAGGAGGCGCGGGGGTGGGAGGAGGAAGTCAAAGGCCTGGCTAGAGGAGAGATTCTTACTGCACTGCAGCAGGTGAAGGTCGGCCTGTGGTTTGAACGTACTTCAGACTCCCCCTCGTTGATTTATTCATCAAGGCTTTCGTTTTAAACCCCCCTCGGCCTGCAGAATTACACAGGCATCCTCAACCCCCCTCCCGGGTTCCTCCTTTGATTTTTTCCTGCCTCCCCTGACGTGTGCACAAACTGTCTCCTCCGCTCAGCCTGCGGAGAGGCACGGATGGACTCCGTCTCCCGCCGCTTGCCCAGTCGATGCGCTGAGCTTTCTGTGGCTGAGCGCGAGGGCGTGCGGAGTCAGCCGAATCCGCCGCAAGGTGTAACAGCTGCCCCCCCCCCCCCCCTCGGGACGGAGGAGAGACGGCAGTTGAAGGGAGCTTTGGACTCTCTTGTGGCTGGAGGCGGGGCCAGCCACAAAATGGCTGCCGCAGCCGACCTTCAGTCACACAGTGAAGCTCCTTCTGCTGCGCAGGCAGCTGTTGCCTAGGCAACGTTTTTTAAAAGTCTCCACAGCCAATCAAATCTCCAGTGGCCAATCAGAAGCCTCGCTCGGCAAAAGACCCCTCTGGCTCCACCCACTTTCGAAGAAGAAGAAGAAGAAGAGGAGGAGGAGGAGGAGATTGGATTTATACCCCCGCCCTTCACTCGGAGTCTCAGAGCAGCTTACAAACTCCTTTCCCTTCCCCTCCCCACAGCAGACGCCCTGTGAGGTAGGCGGGGCTGAGAGAGCTCTTTCCAGAACTGTCCTTGGGAGAGCAGCTCTGACAGTACTACGGCTTGTCCAAGGTCATCCAGCAGGTGCAAGTGGAGGAGTGGGGAATCAAACCCGGTTCTCCCAGAAAAGAGTCCGCGCCCTTAACCATGACACCAAACTGACTCTTGCTGGGCCCCAGGAAATGTGTCAGAGGGCACCGTTTGGCCTTCAAGGTGCCAGGCGTGTGGGCAGAGCTGGCTGGAACCTCAGAAGGCAGAGGTGAGCCCAGAGCTGGAGTTCTAGTATTTTGCAGAAAGGCCTACAAGAGCCAGTTTGGTGTCGTGGTTAAGTGTGCAGACTCTAATCCGGGAGAACCGGGTTTGATTCCCCACTCCTCCACTTGCACCTGGCTGGATGACCTTGGGCAAGCCATAGTTCTGATAAGAGCTGTTCTTGAAAAAAGAGCAGTTTCTGTCAAGAGCTCCCTCAGCCCTGCCTACCTCACAGGGTGTCTGTTGTGGGGAGGGAAAG